AGCCCTTGAATGTTTTACATTGTTTCTAGTATAATTAATTAGTATTTCAAAACATCATGGTCCATGGTCATGATGTTTCAAAATTATGTTCAAAAGCCCATGTTTTTTCCCAAAAAATGGCTCAAAAATCACCCCTAATTTTTAATACATTTTGTAATACATATTGATTGATGTACTTAAGACATACAGATGGTTTGAGCAGATTCCAACTTAAATTGTTCGAGTTATGACAATTTAAAAAAATGGGCCAGTATCTGAAAAAATTCCTGTACATTGCCCGTGGTTTTTTTAAATGGCTCATAAATTAATTACCCCCAATTTTCATTACATTTGTTTATATATTGATGTACTTATACTATGCAGAAAGTTTGGGCCAATTTGCCATTAATTTTTGGAGTTATACGCTTTTGAAAATGTTGTCCATCTTTTACTAAAATGATATAGGCATCGAGTCATTTTTATTTGATCAAATGTACATCATTTTTTTACACAACAACAATAATAATAATAATGATGATGATGATAATAAAACTAAAAAGCACAAAAAGATAATGTAACCACAATTGAATCTAAAATAATAATCACCAACAGCTGAAGAGGGGAGACAGCCTACAAGCCACACATACACATTTTGCCACTAAATGTACTCAACCCTCATCCTCTTTGTCTCTATCATGCACTCATGACAACGAGCCAATACATGTACCATATACAGTAACACATAAATCCTAAAGATGAACATGCACATAAAGCCATATGCAGAATGCAAGACAACTTATTGGTTACGGCAGTATAGGTCTTATGCAACAGACCTTTTGTTTTCTGTCATTCTAATTTCTGCTCTCTCTTCAGTTGTGATCTCCTTCAATTCTCCTCTATTGTCTCTAAAAATAACAGTATATAGTACTAGAGCAAATTTATTAAAGTGTACTTGTAATAAATGACATCTCCATCAGCATCATACAGTGATGCTTGATTCCATTGCAACTCATTCGCAATATCAAGACGTAATATCTCAGCTGGAAATGATCTCAAATACTTTAAAAAGGAAAAATAACTGGCTGATAGTAAAATGTCAATGGCTAACTGTTGCAACAGAAATGGCATCAACAGTAACTCCACTTAACTCTAAAAGCTAAAGGAAAGAGTCACACAGCATTATTTTTATCATATATACATTCACTTTCTTTTTAAGATCTAAGGGACTATGTGTGTCTAGAATAACTTCTTCTGTTGGATCAACTGAAAATTCTGATGGATGCCATCTTCTAAGCAGCAGCTGTCTCACTAACAATACCTGCAATTGACACAAAAACTTCAATGTATCCAGTTAAAAAACTAATAAACATAATACCATTTGCTCTTTGCTTAGTAAAACTGTCATGAGTTGCAAACTTCTTCATGTCAGTATCACATTTTATAGATAACTAGGAATTTGAATACATATTGTATACAAACAAATACTAAGAGCAAGACTAAGATCTGAACTTATTTTAAAGATGCAATATCTTTACCTTTGTTAGGAAAGAGTGGTATAGCTATCTGAGACAGAGGACAAGCTTTTGCTATATACCTGTAGCTGACTGTGCAGCAGGTAATCATGCTTATTAGTTTTTTAACTGGATGGATTGAAGTTTTTGAGTCAAATGCAGGTCTTATTAGTAAGATACATGTAACTGCAATGCTAAAGTGAAAAGAGAGAGAATCCTCCTTTTTTATGAAGGTAAAGGAAGTGACATTATCACATGATGCATTGCATGCACATACAAAAATCTCAGGCTATAATCAATTTGAAGGGATTGTACAAATCTGTGTTGACAATATTTGGGGAGTTATCTCTGGTGAGAGTTGGACTAATGATAATTCTTTAGTTATTTGCCATCAACTTGGTTATAAGAAAAGTATGAGCAGCTAACAGTTTAAGTATAGTTTATGATATTACACTTTCTTCTATTAGTAGGTAGACATGATGTTACACATGGCAAGCAAAGGAGAGCTGTATTTCTGTCTAATGTTTCTTGCAATGGAATGGAATCATCACTGAATGATTGTGATAAAGTATTATATCCACTAAATATTGCAAAGCAATTAGCTAATACAACTGATGAAATTGCTGCTGTTGCTTGTATTGTTGAAACTAGATCTACCGCATCTACAGTGAAGCAAGTTAGTAAAAGTACCCAGTCTAATGTTCAGCCTACAATGGATTCTGATCAGAATAAACCTAATTTTCGTAACGATCCTTATTTCATATCACTTTGTGTCCTGGCTGGTGTATTACTCATTGTTGTGTATGTTAAATACTATACATGCATCAATTTTAATATTATTTTGCCAAGCCTCATTCAAATAATACTTTTTTTTCAGGTGTGCCATTTTAGGGTCAAAAGTGAGGAACAGTAGAAGGAAAAAGAGACTCGCAAGTCTTTCTCTTCAAACAACACAGTCTGAACCTAAATCTAGCGATGACAGTGATGATAGTGATGAGCCTGAAATACAAGAACATCACTGTCGTTATTATCAGCGTCATTGTCAATATCATAGCAGTCATCATCAACATTCTCAGAATGACTTTCCAGTCGCATCTCAAAAGGAAGCTTATAGTATTAAACGAACATTAGTTTTACAAGAAGAACGTGTGCATGTAGTGCAAAAAGTCATCAATTGAAACAATTAATACCCTTTATGTTTGACAGTTGACTGAGAAAAATAATGGTGAAATAATTATTATTGATAATAATGATAATGTCATTAATAAATTAATAACGAGCTGTAGAGCTAAATGGGCAAAATTGAATTTGCAGAAATGCTGTGGCTAGCTACAAGACAGTCATGTATACACCATATTATAGGACCAACTAAGAAAATAAGGTAAAGAACTTATACAAGGTAATAAACAATTCTTATCCTTTTACATATTATGTCGTCAGAATATCTTTTACTGAACTTAAGGTACTCAGTTAATAGAATTTTCAAGTGGTGCATAATTGACACTGCAGATCTTTATCAACAAATTGAAGGAGTAGTAAATACAAAAGTATGGGAGAGATATAAGTATGAATCTAATAACAACTGTGCTAATGAGTTTCACAGTAAGATCTAAGCAACAATACAATACTTGTAAAGTAATAAAAGTGTTTTGGCCATGTCTAATGCATCCTTTTCATAATAGCAATATGAAATATCTTAAAAGCTAATACAACTACTGAGTCTTTTACTCCTAATAAATCAGTACCAGAAAATTTTATATTGTTCCTTATGATAAAAGAATCTGTATATATGCATACACTCTATTTTAACAAACTTTGTATGTACTAGATCCATTTTCATGACAACCATTAACCCAACTTAGTTCTGTTTAATACTTTGTGGGATGACCTCCAATAGTGCAACTTTGTCTTTTACAAACCTCTATCGAAAAATTTTCAGTAATGTTTAAAAACTTCTTTTCAATGACAACTAAAAATATGGTGCCCAAGTTTTGTTATTTTTGAAAGTTCCACTGTATTGTAAAAAAATACATTTACTTCAATTAGAGGTTTTAAAATGCAAAATACTTTTAAAAATTTCTAAACATTTTAAACTTTCCTTTAATCATTAAATTTTAAATGTCAGATAGTATACTGTCATATGCAATTAAGAGCAACAGTAAAGGTCATTTAGTTCTTCTACAGTCTCTATAATAATTATTATAATTTTAGTTAGATCTACAATAGTATCTTATTACTATAGTCCTTAAAGTGATAATCTACCTCTGAAGCCATTTCTTTCATTAATGCATCAACAGTAGCCTCAGCCTCATGTGATAAGATCATCTTCTTCAATGGTTTGACACCCAGATGTGATACAGCCATGCATTCCTTCCATTTGTCATGAATTGATTTACCAAACTCTTTATTGTAACTTAATCTTGAAATATCCAGTTCAAAATAAGCATCTGCTGTAGGAACAAGGGAGCAAAATAGAACTTCTAGAATAGCTAATGTATCATCTTCAGTCAGTTGAAGGCTTGACTCTTGAAGACATAAGTAATGAAGACAACCAGGTTTGATGATAGATAAGGCATCTACTAAGGGTAAAACTGAGTCTTGTTTGTCATAATCAAGACAAAAAACTTCAAGCTTTACCTTCCAGCATTTTGCAGTAATGATGCTAAATAGTGAAGAAATGATGTGAGCATTATTAGCATCAATGTAACTGGAAATAGAAAACACTTCAACTTCAATGCATTCAAGACTTGAAAAAAGGGTAACAAGGCGACTGTCGCCTTCAGGATCAAACCTTTCTTTCAACTCAAGTGACTTCAGGAAAAGATGTGGAGGTAAAATAGACAAGAAACTATCAGGAAATGAACAGTTTGAGAGTTTCCATGACTTTTTCTCATTGTATTGAATAGTCAGTGGGATTGGAAGAGGATGGAAATGTATGTCAGAAACATATTTTAATGACAGAAGCTCGAGATATGGCGAAGCAAAAAATGCTTTCATGAATGGAAAAACTACATTCTGATTTCCGGAACCAATATAAGTAAAAGTCTTGAAAACAGGACGATAAAATAAATCTTCAGTGATGCACAGAAGAATCAGGTTGTCAATATCCATATTCATATTCCAATAAAGAGACTCTAACTCTTGTTGATGTTTTATCACATCAAAAAGGAAAGAAGGCGGTGGATGATAATTATATGTAGCTAGTTTAAGACATTTCAAATGGCAATGTGAAGGTTTCAGGAAATAAGACAGCAAGAACTCTAAATCTTCATTAAACAAAGAAAACGAACTTAACAAAGCTCTCTTAACTGAGCCAGGAATGAGATCGTCTAAAAATGTTTTTGCTATCTTTGTATTTGGCTTATTGATCATTACACCAAAATCAAGTGACTGTAACAAACTAAATAGCTGTGATAATTTCTGCTGACGAACTTTATCGTTGATCTTCACACAATTGTAATCCTTTAATCCTATATAGACACCACTTGCACTAAACCTCACAGTTAAATGCTTTAGTTTCGCATTACAGACATCCACTAGGGTATCAATTATTATTTCAGGTGTGAACCCTTTCTGATAAACAGTAGTGTATCGCTCAGGAAATGCAGAACACCTGGAGTATCTCTTAATGCCATGAAAAACAGTGACACTGCCATCATAGAGGAAATTGTAGAAATAAGTAGGAGGATAATAGTCGCACACACCATAAAGCAAGTCTGTAGGAAAATGATCGGGTTTGTCACAGCCACAGTCACAGCCACAGTGAGTATCCCAATTCCGATCACAGAAAGAGAAAAATAACGACAAAAAATATGATTCCTTCCAATTGCAACTGAGCTCCTTTTCTTTCTTCCATTCGGTAGGAGTGTAGAAATAGAAACCATCATAAAAAGCTTGTTCTTTGTCACGTATAGGAAACTTTTTGTTATAAAGTGTCTCCCATATCTCATCCATTGCGATACCATGAGTGAATGGTGTGTTTTCTAGTCTACATACATCAATGACTGGTAATAGTAGCAGGAGCTGACGGCGAATAAAACGAGGAAGGAGAGCAAGAAGACGAATAGAAATTCCTTCTTCTCCTTTATCAGATTCAAATAAATGACCAACAATAAAGATAAGACATTGATCCCGAAGAGAGACCTCGATAGAGACAGACATGATCTTTAGTAGTTTTAGATTAACTATTTTTAATGTAGGTGTGGTCAAAATAATTAACAAACAAAAATTTGACTCAAAAAGTTATTTTTTAAAAAAGGCCTACAAAATTAGCAAAAATTTGGAGAAAAATTCAATGAGTTAAATTAACGTTTCCTTGGACGAGATGATGATCGTACCTCCTCCCAGCCTTCCTCATTACCAGCCTCCCTATCACCACGATAACGATCAGAATCACCCCTGTCCCTGTAGCGATCAGGCTCCCTGTCTCCTCTAAAGCGTTCAGAGTCTCTCTCCCTATCTCCTCCTCTACTGTAAGAGTCCCTATCCCTCCTATCATCACCTCTCCTTCCATAACGATCATAATCATCACCGCCACCACCTCTTCTCCATTCACCTCCTCCTCCTCCTCTATCGTCCCTCCAGTTAGATCGTGTTGGACTTGGTCCCCTTCTATCATCTCTACGTGGTGGACTCAATCCTCTCTTATCATCCCTCCAATCTTCATCTCTTCCCTGTTCTCTACGAGAATCAGGTGGGCGATAAGTTCCCCTGCTGCTTCCTCTTTCATCAGGCTCACGTCTCCTCATATTGGGTCTACTGTAAGAATCCCTGGAATCCCTCTCCCTTCTTTCATCTCTATACCTATCGTCACCTCTATCTCCTCTCCTTCCATAGCGATCATAATCATCACCACCTCTTCTCCAATCACCTCCTCCTCCTCCTCGATCGTCCCTCCAGTTAGATCGTGTTGGACTTGGTCCCCTTCTATCATCTCTACGAGGGCTCAGTCCTCTCTTATCATCTCTCCAATCATCATCTCTTCCTAGTTCTCTACGAGCGCCAGGTGGACGATAAGCTCCCCTTCCCCTCTCATCTGGTTCACGTCTCCTCATACTAGGTGATGGTTCGTTTTGTCTCCAGTTATCAGTCTCTGATCTCCTCCAGTTGTCTTCCCTCCTGCTTCCTTCTTCAGTCGTTTGACGTTCCTCATCTCTTGCTGCTTGTCTTTCTTCTCTCTCTTTTTCTTCCTTTAGACGCATCTTTTCTTCAACTTCCTTTTCTTTCTGTAGTTGTTTCTGTCGTTGCTGTTCTAGTTTCTCTGCTTTGTCATTATCTTCCTCCTCTTTCCTTTTCTTTTCTCTTTCTTCTTTCTCACGAGCTATTTTCAAAAGACATTGAATTGACAAAATTATAGGTAGGAGTAGTAGGGATATATTCTTACCTTCTCTCTCTTCTTTCTCCTTTCTCAAACGCTCAGCTTCTGCCTTGCGTTTCTCCTTCCTCTCTTCTTTCCTTTTAGCAAGTCTAGCTTCTCTTTCTTTTGCAACTTCAGCCTCAAAAACAGCAAGTTCATCCTAAAAATACAATAAACAGGTCTCAAAAAGCACATGCACACGAATAAATGCTACAAATTAATCAAAAAATGAAAAAAGCTACTATTGATGCAATTACAGCACACGGCAAATAAAAAAACTAAAATACATGTAGCCATGTATGTACATGTAGCACAAGACAAATTATAAGTTACAGCTAGCTTTTCTTTTCTTTTGTCTGTAACAATTTTCTTAAACACAAGTCTCTCGTCCTCCATCTTTTGAAGTCTGGATTGAAGCTTCAATGCCTTTTCATGGTCTTCTATAGCTTTACTTATCTATAAAGGAATAAGTCAAAATAAAGTACATACTACAACTACATACATATAGCCAGTTTTACTTTCAATAAAACAAACACAAATTAAAATAGGCAGATAAATTTAAAATAGCCTTACCCTCTGGGCCTCAGATTCATCATGAAATTTCTTGTCCTCTTCAATCTGTGACTGGTAGTGCTTCTCTAGCAGTGGAATCTCAACCATTCTCTTGGCCCTTTCCATGTAATCAAACTGAAAAAATAGCAAGAAGCCAGGTAAAATTTGAAAAAAATAATGTCTCACTCTTTTTTCTTGTCCTTTTAATTTAGTTTCTTTATCTCTTCTCTCTTTATCCATCTGTTGTAGTTGCTTCAACAATATCTCATCAGCATCCAGATCCTTCATATCCTACAAACCAACCAATGAGGTTACAGTCACTATGACAACTATCTTACAGCTGCAGTAACATCAGCAAATGCTCTTGCTCCTAATGGAGTCTTTTTCAGAGTCTCCAATTTGTCTTCGGCCATTTTCCTCTTCATTTCTTCAATATTCCTCCTCTTCTTTTCTTCATTCTCTTTCTTCATGTCTTCGTCCAGTATCTTCTTTTGTTGTTCACGTAGCTCAATCTCTTTCTTGGCTTCTTCTTCCCTCAGTTGCTGCTCCTGTATACATAACATACATTAAAAATGACACAGGTTACATGATTATCATGTGAATGTGATCAGAAGCATCAGGTTAATGGGTGATGAGATGTAACTCTAGTCAGCACTGAGTGTTGGTACTCAGACGAACAAGACCAAAGGCATCACTTGCTTCTTTCCAATCCCTCCTCTAGTACTATAGATTAAAATTTTTTTACCTTTTTCTTCTGAATATTTTCTAAAAACTCTTTACGATCTTCAATGGCCTGTTTCCTCTTTAGATATGCTCTGTGTTCTGTAGACTCGTTTTCCTGAAACCTCTTCAATAATTGTGCCTGTTTATTCTTGTGCTCTTCCTGAAAGAGAATGACATACATTAAATAAACTATATAATTATACAAAGAGGTCTCATGACTAGCATATGATCCCTCTCACTGAAGCATCAGATTAATGGGTGATGAGATGTAACTCTAGTCAGCACTGAGTGTTGGTACTCAGACGAACGAGACAAAAAAGCATCACTTGCAACAGAGAAGGATACTTAACAGTGCATGGCTATATAACACAATCCCTCCATCGTTACTTACCTCAAGATCTTGTGACAATACAATAGAAGCTGCTTGCTGAAGAGCCTGCGCCATTAATGTTAAATGACGTCCAAATACTTCAGAAGGCATTGACTACATAAAAAAAGAAAAAATAGAACAACTTATAAATACCACATGTCAAACCTGTATAACTGGTCCTTCAGGTATCTTGTCATGATGAACTAAACTTATGTCTTTACCAAACCACAGTGAATTGGACTGATGATCAATCTTAACCTAACAAAATCAGTCACACAACACCCAGACATTGAATGGATCCTTACTTCAATGTCATTGGTACGTGCTGTTTCTACTACAATCCTTTCAAGCTCCATTGGTGTGGCTATGAGAGATAACTCCGCCAGACGGGACAAAGGAATGCTATGATAGACTTGAGATATCTTAAAAGAAACAAAAATAGATATAGTTTCCAGTAATTGTACTCTCTCCTTTACCTGTTTCACAAACCTCACAAGTGTCACTTCCCTCAAAGACCCAACATACACTGATGTGTCTTCATTAGCCGAGAGACTTTCCAGAAGGGGCTTCACTTTACGACAGAGGGAGAGAGGATTAAAATCAAATTCCAGACACTGGTATAACTGATTAATCTCTTGTGACACACATTGAAATACACCCAACCCTGCCTATTAATTAATAGAATTAGTTTACATCAATATAATATAAACAGAATAATTACCAGATCATTCAATAAAGATGCACGTGTGGGTGGAGTTGGTATACGCAACAAAGCAGACAATTTCTGAGCTTTTTCATGATCAGTAGAATCATCAATCAACAGTTTCTCCATTGGACTAAGTATTGGAGTAATGGGTACGGACAATGTAGCTAATAAAACTTGTGTAGCAGTCCTAAATAACAACAATAAATAATAAAATATCATAATAGACTTACTTCTGTGCCTCTTCAGATCCCAATGAAAAAGTCTTCTTTTGTTCTTTACGCAACACAAACAGACGGTGGAGAGCAGCTGCATGGAACAGCTTATTGTTAGCCATCCAGTACACTGAAGCTTGTTTCTGATAAAAATTCTCAAGAAGGCTAGCCTTGGCTTTTTGTTTAGGACGACTTATAAGGAAATTGATACTCTCTATTGCTTTAAAGGCTTCCTAATACAATAAAACAGGGTACATGTATAATAATAATAATAATAATAATAATAATAATAATAATAATAATAATAATAATAATAATAATAATAATAATGCGTACCTGCCAGAGATCAATAGCAATTGCTTTGTCCAGCTGTTCAAATCTTGTATCAACCAGGCACTGTATGGTCTCTGCACTGTCCAATTTCTGTGCATACTGATTAGCCTGTTGCTTATCTTGGGCCAACTGTCTCTCAGCATTTTCAATTTGAGACAAATGATTCCTTAACTGGACAAAAGAGAATATGTAGCATATACTATAGTAACAGCTGTCAGGAGACAACTTACTATGTCACACAACTTGTGAAATTCTGTCCTTCTCTTGTACTCAAGGCAAAATGCAAATGCTAAAGAGAGAAAAAGCAGGAGATTACTTGTGAATTATAAGTAAATTTGTAATCATTACCTCTCTTAGCTACGTGTACATAAATAGCCTCCAACTGCCTATTGTTTTTCAAAAGCTCGAGAACATTACGGAACGACTCCCACAAAAACTTGACCCAAGGCATAAGCATAATACGATCAGTTCTATCTTGTGTATCTTCACCGCTCACTGTACTGAGGAGGACACTAGAGACAAGGAAAAGAGAAATAAAACCCATTACTGTAAACATCAGTGAGACACATGGCTAAAATTTGCCTAATTAACACCAAAATTTAACTAATTCACAAAATTCCCAGCTACATGCACCCAAAGATAATTATGTCTTATACATTAGATTAACCTTTCTGGAGTCTGAATGGCATCAAGGTCCTCAATATCAAGGACAGTTTGTGCTGATTCCTCTCTTGCGGAGCTGGCCTTACCCTCTGCAAGATCCAAAAAATACTCGATAACTTCCTTAAAAGAGTTTAGATTCGTATCTTTGCAAATATTCCGATACTGGTAGAGACCATCTTTAGCAGAGAGACTCCGCTGAAGTTCAGTACATAATTTAAGATAAAGCTGCATGATACCCTCGTGGGTCTCACTCCATTGTCTGTGTTTCTTGCTTCGAATAACATCACTGAGGACCTCCACAGCAGACTCCTTCTTACCAACATCAATAAACTCTAAGGAAAAAAAATTAATAATAATAATAGTAAACTTTGAAAATTACTACCTCTTGCTCTATTAAGAGCGTTCTCTGGCCTGTGAAAATATGTGGGCATCTTTCCTTTCGTTCCTTTCTTTCTCAATTCTCGACCTCAGTCACAAAACACGAGGTTTGTGAAACTTGTGCGCATGCGCACATCAATGAATAGTTTATTAAATTGGGTGGGCGTGTTTATTATTGTTTGGTGGCACGCCCTCAAACACAATGGCTGCCTCTTCAGAGGCAGGTCAACAAATCAAAATAGTACTACTTGGAGATGGTACGACTGGCAAGACATCACTAGCGACTAGAATATCCCAAAATAACTTCACAAAGAAATACGACCAGACCCTGGGAGTTGATTTTTACCTCAGAAGACTAGAATTACCAGGTGACAAACACTTAAATCATGTAAAAAATAAAACTTATGAGTACTCCTCTCTTTATTTTACATGTTAAAGGTGCTGTGCAGGTTACGTTACAAGTTTGGGACATTGGAGGTCAAACTGTTGGTGGGAAAATGCTTGAGAATTACATATATGGTGCTAATGTATGTTCAGTCTTTTGTGCATTGAAATATGTGTACTTCTCTTGTTGTTTTATATTGTAGGCTGTTCTACTCATATATGATATCACTAACTATTCTAGTTTTGATAACTTGGAGGAATGGCTAAAGGAGACAAAGAAGGTTTTTGCTAACTCTGATCGACCTTTACCATACATGATGCTAGTGGCAAATAAAAGTAATAATCCTAATATAAAGGCAGGTTTACAATATGACGCAAGGCCAGCATACCAATGATTTGTAATCAAAGTGTGTGCAATTTGACTTTTGAAAACGTAACATCAAAAGTCAAGACTATCGCAATATTTTAAATCCGCCTTAATCACTATTTATGATGGTTGGTTGATATACATTCCTTACTAAGGAATGCATATCAACCAACTATAATTTACTAGCCTTGTGAGCCAGACTTATCCCATTTTGACATTGACCCTATTACTGCTATGAAATTTTTTTGTGCTTGTGTTAAATGGTGCAGTATGTGTTTTGAAGTTTTATTTTATTTTTATAGTTGATCTTGAACATCAGAGAACAGTTAAAAGAGAGAAGCATCTTGAATTTGCAAAGGCACACAGAATTACCAGGTTTAGATACTAGGGCCACAGTGTCTTTAGTAACTAAATGGGTTTCCCACAGAATTTTGGCAAAGTGCTCAGCTTTTTGTTACTAATTAAGTTGTTCCACACTTCAAATAATTATGTATATAGTACAGGATATTTCCAAAATGGCTAGTAGAGAATTTATTTGTAATACATTATACATATGCACATGTACTTATGTTGTGTAGAAAGTTTGAGCTAATTCTGACCAAAATTAGATATTTAATGAATTTTAAAGTTGCTCCATATTTGAAGCACTAATTAACATACTTTATGGGAAACTCTGATTAAATGCTATAGACACATTTTAATCCATGGTATTTTGATATAATGACACTCTTGCTCTGTGTTCATTTACCTCTCCTTATACTAGTCACTCATTATCAGCTAAAAATGATGACTTGGTTTACCAATGCTTTTTAAAAGCAGCTGCTGGTGTTTTAAAAATCTCACTCACATCAGCTGACTTGGATACAAGTCAGGTATGTTTCAAGTACAATGAACTTTATTATACTATTATTAATTAATTAATTTAGAAAGTGATAAAAGCTGATATAGAGACTGAGAAACCAGCATCAGAAGGAGCTACTGTTCTACTCCCAACAAAGAAAACAGTTTCAAAAAATAAGAGTGTAATATGTTCATTACAATAACTTGTCTTATCCTCTCACTCGGTCTCTTTCTACCTTCTCTACTTCAATTACAACGGTTTATCACTTTTTGATTATTTTTAGAACAAAATGACTGATATTCCCTGCATGCGTGTACCAAATCCATTAAGTAAATTATGTCTCAAGTTATTTTGGTTGTGTCTCACCATCAGACACATGCCTTATTACTACATAGTCTCTTTTGGGTGAAGGTTCTTCTCCTTCAGCTGGCTCATCAGGTAAAACTGCAGAAACTGCTATTGCTATCTTTTTCCCATCATGACTGAATGAGAGTGACGAAATATCTGTGGGATAGCGATGAAACTGGCAAAGCCTTTTCTTATTGAAAGGATCCCATATATTTACAAAGCCATCAGAACCACCTAAAGATACAAACACATTATTTATCCATAATAAATCATAGATCCACTAACCGGTGGCAAACGTGTTATGGATGTTATGGAAAGCAACAGCATTTACTGGATACACCTTTTCGATCCCGTCCTCTTTCAGTCTGTGACACTTGAAAGCATACTTCTTTTGTTGAACCTCTTGTTGAGTGTCAAGATACTCCACAGCCACTCTTCCTTCAATAGAGCTAAGCACAAAACCTATCAGTGTCACAAGAGAGTCATATAATGCTCATGTGATCTCTACCTTGTTTATTAGGGAAGCACCTAATGCAACGTGTCTGGTATTTTAAACTGGACTGACGACGTTGTTCAGCAAACTGCATATTACGCAAGTCCCAAACAAGAACCTTGCGATTTGAAGTACCCACAACTAGTCTCTCACCAGATAATGACATTGTATATACCTGGCATCATGAAACATAACAGCCTCACTCTATCAATCATTTACTTTCTCATTCAATTGATTGTAGGTCCCTACTGCATAATGCTGTCTAGGATCCCATATCTTCAGCGTATTGTCCCAGCTACCAGTTATAATGATACTCAGGGAAGGACAATGCTCTATGCTACTGATGGCATTTTCATGTGTACCTAATAATAAAGATAATTAAAAGCGTGGGTGTTGGGCAAACCTAGTGTGGACTGCTTTTGAGCTGCTAGATCATATGTTTGTAATGTTCTATCTAGTCCAGCTGAGAATGTGTGGTTTTCGTCGGAGAATATACAGTCTAGTACAGCATTTGAGTGACTGTAGGAGACCAGTTGTGATCCACTGGCTGATTCAGAGGCAGCTGTGGTATCATAGAGTCTCACGCTTTTATCCCACGAGCTAACTAACAAATGAGATGATCCAGGGACTGGAGAAAACGTCACGTTGGTGATACCGTCCGTTGGAGGATTGGGAAGCTCAAACTCCATTTTGAGAGGCATTTTTGTAAAATTTGTATAAAAGTGGTGGCGGGTTAAAATTGATCTAATTTAGTGCGCATGCGCAGTACACCTTGGCGGCATTTGGAGGGTACTACTATTAATGTTCTTGATGGTAATGAGCCTAACTGAGGCATAATGTACCTAATGTGCAATTGAACGAGTATAATATTAATCATTATTTATAATAATTATTTTAATCATCTATTGCTTATTTCTACTCCGTTTAGATCTCCTTCCTTTAGTCTCTATTCTTTTGGGCTCTTCATCAAAGTCGTCTTCAGATTCAATCTTACATGTATCTTCTGTCTTTGAACCACGACTAGCAACCTTCATTCTCTTTTCCTTAACACTTGGTGACATTGGTTGAGGTGAATCTGATTTCTTGCTTGAAGATACATGGCATTCATCGTGTGATTGCTTGTCTTCAGAGCTAGTGCTACTCAATAATCTCTTCTTAACTCTCCCACTACTTCTGACTGGCTGGAGTCTCTGCTTCTTTCTTGGATGCCTCTTCCTTCCTTTTTCTTCTTCCTCCTCCTCATCTTGCTCACTTTGGCTGATCCTTTTCTTTCTTTTTCTTCTCGTTCTTTCATTTTTATTCTTTTCCTCCTCCTCTTGTTCCATCTCCTTCTCCTCTATCCCGTGATTCTTTTCTTTGTTCTCCTCCTCCTCTTCCTCCTCGAGCTCCTCCTCGAGCTCCTCTTCCTCTTTCTCTTCTTCTTGCTGTTGTTGCGAGGCTAGCCTTGCACTACGTCTTGGCCTGGAGTTTGAAAGAGGCGGAAAGTTTTCATCTTCAAAGACGTCCTCTATTCCATTATTTCTATCTTCTACTCCCTTCCCTTTATCTGCTTCTGTCTCCTTTTTTTCCTCACTCTCTTCTTCTGTGTGCAATGCATCTTCAGATTTGTTCTCTAACAATGTCAGGTCTTTCTTCATATCTAACAATGTTGGTTCTATCTTTGCATCATCTCTCTCTATTACATTTTCCTCTTTCTCCCTCCCTTCATTGCTAGAAGGTACCTGAGTGTCTTGTGTTTCTAAGTGCTCTTTTTCATTCGTGTCAGTTTTCTCCATTTTTTGCTTCTTAATCTTCTCCTTGTCAACGGACAGCAATCCTTCTTCTCCTGGTAAATCAACTTTGCCAGCTTTTTTCTGAAGCTCCTTTCCGCTGATAGTTGTTCCTTCATTTGGCTTTAATTTACCTTTACCTGCTATCTTTTTAATGGCTTCCTTTTTTAAATTAGAGGAAGAGCTTCCACTAGAAAATGATAAGAGATCTATCGGCAACTCAAATGTATTACCAGCCAAACCAGTCCCAGCTACACTAGTAGGAGGAGTTGGATCTGATAGAGTTGATATACCTGTTGGTTGATGAGATGAGTTTAAAATGCTAGTATCATTCGGTGGGTGTGGTTCAGGTGGGTGGAGCATGTTGTCTACAATGTCAAGAATTTTTTTGAAAAGTTCACCAGATTTAGATTCTAGAGTTTTATCAACTAGTTCCTCCATAGTCTGACTTGCTTGTACACCAGGTCTGGGGAAAAAATAAAAAATAATTCCCACCTCAAAAAATTAGCTAATTAGTTTAATACACTACCACATTCTCTTTCATTCTTTTCTCACTTCTTAATTTCTTCCAGTACTGATAGTCTCAATTTTGTTCGTACATCATTTTTTGTCATTTCTTTTGTCTCATAATCATGAAGAAAGCGTCTGGAGAGAACCTCAACATGTTCTTTCTGTGCTCGATAAGATGGCTACCAAAGGGAAAGAGACAAAGAGCAGTAAGAAGAGTCAGCAGACAAGGAACAATAGTAATAGTAAAAATTACATGATGCCAGAATAGTAATTGCCTTCAATAAAAATTATGATGCTATTCAGTCATACATATGTACTGCAGATACATACATACTTATCAAATAAAAGGAAAACCGCTAGTATTTTATTGAAAATGGCTAGGAGAGAGTTCATTATACTTTCTGATATATGCACTTATGCACATTATGTAGGAATTTTGAGCTGATTAATTAAAATTATATTTTAAAAATAAAACTTGCTATGCCAAAGCACCTTGAAATGGCTACAAGTCAATTTAATTACATTTTCTCAGTCTGATGCATTTACATATTTTTATGTAATGTAGCTAAGTCCTATCAAAATTGGGCTCTTATGATTTTTCTTATGAGTTATGATGCTATGAAATCGAGAATAATTCATTAAAATGGTTTGGGAGAAAATTCTTCATTATTCCTGATACATAATAAATGTTTTTTTTCACAGGAGAGGGGTGTAAATGCTTCCCAAAACCCAGGATATTACAATGGATGCAATTAAAGGCAATAAAATGTAAATGCACAAATCATTACCTTTTATAAGCAATCCAATTACAAGCATTATAGTACAAAAATTTGAGTGTTTTCACTTTTCAGAGACATTTTGAGGGTCAGACCATGCATGTACATGTATTTGTGTATATATATTCCTATGCATATATGTCTCTGAGTAATATCCTGAGATATCTGTCTGAGGAAAAGCCCTCAGGTCATATCAATTCAAAATATTTTCAGTGATATAACAATACACATCACACACACACACACACACGCACACACACGCACACGCACACACACACACACACACACACACACACACACTTGGGGGTCTATTTAGATAATTCTTTTTCTGACTACATTATCATTATTATGCTTTACACAACTATGACAGGAAATATACATATAAGACAAAAAGAGAAGAGAAGATACTAACTTCTTCTTCAATGGCAGACAGGCAAGTTTTTCTAAACTGATCAAATGTTCCATCAAACTTCAAACGTTCCAATACGTCTTGAACGAGAGGAAGAGGAGCTAATGGTTCAGCTAATGGCCTACTGCTTTCCTCCATTTAATGGGTGTGGTTTATTCGGATTTAGATCTATCAGTAAATGAAATATTTGTATTATGTATAATACTTACTCTAATATACCTATGAGTCTATATAATATTATCTTTATATGCTGTCAAATGGCAATCAACCAGTAAGGCCTCAAGTAATGCTATCTGCTAAGATCATGAAATGGGGAGTATGCCTAATTGTAAAATCCATGCTAAACGTATGATGCTATATACCAGTTATGAGAGCATCAGCTTGCATTGCAACATAGTCTGGAAAGAAAACTGTGAGATCTATTTTTATAGAGTCTAATTATTACAAAAGTTAAATCACAAAAGATATAAGCAATGCTGTCATAATTATGTAAAATTTTTAACTTTAATGAACAATAATTGACAAACAATGCATGGTGAAAATTTGAAAACTGCTGTATTAAAAAAAACTCAAATACCACTTTCAGTCAAAGTAATAATAATTGTATTTCATAATCTTCTCCAAGACTCCAACCTATACAATGATAAATGAAAGTGGTATTTTTATATAGCATCATATACTAATGGTAATTGTACATCAATGAAATTAAATAAAGGCTGCACAATTGTTAAAAATTAAAGAATACACCATTAACTCATCACAACAAGCCTAGTTGTAGTTCTAGTTGTGTACAATACAATACTGTATACATTACAGGTAATTCATTATACAGTACCATTAACTGATTGTACATGTACATGGTGAAACTGACCTTGCTTCCTCTGCCTCTTGTATTTCTGATCTCTCTTTATCTGTTAACTCTTTCATTGTCTCTCTATTGTCTCTAAATAATTATAAACAATAAGAGGTGTATGAAAGTGTGTGCGCATGTGTATATACACAATGGGTATGTGTGTGTGTTCATTAGTACTTGTAATATATGAAACATCCATCACCAAATTTTCTTAATGGGTATTTGCGCGAAGTGATGGAATACCAATTCAACACCCTGTTCTCAATATCAAGACATGATACAACTGGAAATAATAATGTCTAAGAGTAATTGATAATTATGTTTTAATATCAATAAATAACCTCTACACAATAGATATACTCAACAGGAACTCCACTTAATTCTGACAGCTGTAAAATAACAACAACAATAATATACTTTTAATTCAAACCTTAATAGCTACATGTAGACTACAGCATACAATGTGAATACTCACAGTTCTATTATTTTATGATTATTAATATCAAGAGTACATAATATTAAAGTATTGTAACATACAATAGATTACTGCAATGATATCATGCTAGTACTAGCCCATGCAGTTACTGTATAAGTGGTTTTTTTTGAGGGAATTATAATTATTTCGCAAAATCTACTAAAATTCCAATTCGTGCTACCATGTGTACAATGCAGTACCATACTAATTTGATTTTTGCGGATTTTATTTTTGTAAATCAGGTAGGAATCCACAAAATTTGCAACCATAAAAACCCCTTATAAGGTAATTAATCCACAGTGCCTAGGTATTGAATTAATCAGTTATGCATTGGATCTATTTTTTTATTTCTATGGAGAAACCAGTATGTGTGATAAATTTGATATCGCAACTCTCCATGCATGCACTTGGCAGGAAGTGAGAATGTTATCAAATCTATTGCTACTGAGGTTCCTTGATCTCAAAGTCGAAAAGACAATACAAAGTAATTAAATCATTCGTTAAAAATACCTTTTCAATAATTTGCCTAGTATCATCCAGTATAATTTCTTCTATTGGATCAAATGAACATTGTGATGGACGCCATCTTATAACATACACTTGTGTCTGTCTATAATTATCCTTCACTGGCCCTAATATAGAAAATGACTTATGAATTAGTACTAAACTTACTAGAAATGCATCACTAGAGTATACTTTTTACCTGAAAATACCAAGATCTACTGACCTTTCAATAGTTCCACATACACTTCCCCTTTATTACTAGTATCATAAATGTGTTGATCATCAAGATATACTCTACCAGGGGACACTCCATTCTTGTTACGTAATCTCAATCTACACAATAAGCATGATAGTCATCAGATGGTCACATGATGTGCACTCAGAAAGCATGCTAAGTGAGCTAAACAGCATCCTTGAGCTGACAAGCACTACAATACAGTACATGTACATGGATTTTTGGAGCAAATTTAAAATTCATAATTAGTAATGTGGTAGCATTACTACCTTAAGGCCACTATTATTTCCGAGTACTAATTTGTTGCGTTTTTTGCGAGTGGCTTTAAAATCGCAAAAATTAATACTCGCATTTATTAATAATTTAGGTTTATTAATAGTTATTAATTGAAAAATGAGCTAAATCACAAAAATTAGTACACATTAAATCAATACCATTAACAAATCACAAATATTTGTCTACTTAAAAATAAGTGGCTTTAAGGTAAGTAGAATTCACCCCCAAACAAAATGGCTGCCACGACTTTTGTTTTTATTGGAATCAGCTTAAAGTTGATATACACAGCATAAGGGCATGTATATGCATAAAAAAAAATTAAAAAATGGAGAATTCTCTCCTAGCCATTTTGATGAAAATTTGGCCTAAAACCATATAGTCTTTGATTGATGGCCCAATTTTTGAGCAACTCTAAAAATTCATTAAATAATCCAAATTTGATTGGAATCAGCTCAAATTTGAGACACAGCAATAAGGACATTTATATGTATCAGAAAAAAAATTAGCTATAAAAATGGAGAATTCTCTCCTTGTGACTTTGGTTCCAATACCCTGTACTATAATACAGGGTCTTTGGCCAACACTTGACAAAAGCTGCAATACTGCTGCATGAGTGGATGTACTTACTTGTCTAATTCAAGGACACAGTCAATTTCTTGTGCTTTTGCTTCTTTAATAATCTTTTTCTTAAATTCTCTCACTGGTGTATCCTTAGCAACAATAGACTCCATCATATATTTACAAAACTAAGAATAAAATAAAATATGAAATTATAACGATTAGTATTTCTTACCTCTGTATTTTTAACTTGTAACAAATATAATTTGATTCTGTACTCTCCTCTTCCTAATGATCTACCCAGTGTTACTGTCAACTAGGACATAATAAAGAGACGTGTGCTTTATCAGCATACTCATAGTACATGCAGATATAATGGAAAAAGAAGTGAATCAAGACACATTAAACTACCTCTGATCCAGGTTTAATATTCATTGTCCTATCCAGCTCCTTCATTTCATATCTTTCATTATCAACGATTTGATACACTATAAAACCAGTAGGTGATACACCAATCAGTGGAACTAGCTCCTCCTTAAATTGAGCTAAGGTTATTTTATTATAAATCTGTATCTGTATCTCTGCATTGAACAATAATATGCATAACTTTTTCATTATAATACAAGGTAATATTTATCATTACTTCTTTCGTTTCCATTATCATCTTCATTTACTGATATAACTTTCATTAATATTCCTCCTTCAGGTCTATTAGTTATAGTGGGTAAGGTTTTAGGTCCAGGGGGTATTGTAACGTTCAGTAGTATTGAGTGAATGTGAAAATCAACATATCTGTACATCAAGCTATCTTCAAATTCCTTTTGATAATCTTCAGGATCTGATGATGCATACAGCAACTGAGTGTACGTCAGAGAGGAGGAGGAGGAGGAAAGAGGAATAAAATAATAGTTCAACGAAATGAAGTATTAATTGCAGTAACATCTTTCTTTAGCTTTCTTCCTCCTTCATTTTGTTGCATAAAGGCAAAATGGGTACTGTAATTGATGCTATACTTTCTGTGTGGAGCTTTGCTGATCTAAGACCTCCAAAAGACCAAAGAAGTACCTGTCAGCATTTACCAGCCTACCCATTTAATAATCAATTTTGCTACTAATTCAATGAAGTGCAACAAAATGGAAAAAGAAGGTACTATAGAAGTGCATGATGCTTTTTGCAAATAGCAATAATTAAAATTCCTTAAACTCTTAAATAAAAGCGAATATTGCTACCATACAAAATGAAATATTAGCTAAGAACTGACAGTTTTGTATAAATTGAAACTGCCAATACACCCTATATGTGAAAATTTTGTAAGGATAGAATTGATCTTCACAAGGTTAAATTAAATGTATCATGGCACTATTCAAAATATTAAAATGAAGCTGTGGGTGTTTAATTTTGTGTATAGGGTAAATATACCAATGGTAGTTTGAAAGCCTGAAATTACAATTAATACACATGCAAATATTTCATTATACTACATGATAATACTTGATTCTATATTCTATGAACTAACACTGTTTCCTCCATAGAGTATCTTCCCTAATTTAAAACTTCCTGTATCAGTGATATTACGGACTGAAGTGCCTCCCAAGTAATTATACATGTACTCTTGTACTACTCTCATACATGATGAATGGATGTTAAGAAACTAAAGAAAGATATAAATTAAAGTATATCCTTCCTCTTACTTCTCCTATATGTTGCTTTAATTCTTCAACAGTCCAACCTTCTTCACCTCTCATTATTTTAGCTGGTTCTACTTTACCAGTTGACAGATCAACCACTGATATCTTTAGATTAATACCTATATACATGTACATGTATTTTCATGGTAAAAAAAATCACACAAACCTCCATCATTGTATTTCTTAAAAGTTTCATTTCTTTTACGAGTTTCTAAAAACAAGTATTTAGCTCTCCCAACAACTTGTCCAATAGTTTGATGATGAAACTAAATTTAATAATAAAATAATTACTGATAACAATACCGTATAGCGGAAAATTTTGGAGGGACTAAAATTTGGCGAATTGCTAAATTTTGGTGATTGGCAGATTTCAATTTGGCGAATTGGTGGCCCCATGCATTGAGCATGCGTATAATGGCTCAAAATAGCGGGTTTAATTTTGGCGAATGGCTATCAAAACGCCAAATTCGCCAAATTTAATTCCCTCCAAAATTTCCCGCTATACAGTAGGATATCTAACCTCATCAAGATCAAAGGACTGATTCATTACTTTAGACCAATAATTATATTTAACTAAACGACATCTCTCCATAGGAATAAGAGGAGCTAATTCCATTAACTAATAAAAAAAAGAAAAAAATAAGAGAATAGAGCAACTAAAAATAATAAACCTCATAAGCTTTATCTAGTATTGTGGGTAGCAATTCATCTTTATGTACACTAAGCGTTGACTTCTTTAACTCACCAGTAACTGGATGATAACCACATATATAAATCTACAAAATAAAAGTAAAATAGTACCAAGCCAGCCCTAAATAAGGTACTCTCCTAACTATTGCACCTCTGCATGGCTTTAATAATCTATTGAGTGTTCACCTCATGGTCAAGATTGTCAATTTTTGAAGTGCATTGTAACAGCTCAATTTTGCTTACAGGTGTACACAGCATTGCTTACATTGTTAAAAATCTCTCTAAACATGTACCTCCTGGAACATTTCACATTGTATATCTGGTAATTTTTGTTTGTATTTAATTTTTGGATGCATGGCGGTGTGTGCAATTAAAATTCATGAAAATTAATTTTTATTCACGTGTAATTTTTTGCAAAGTTTTGTGTGAATACCACATGCATTGTCAAGAGACTCAAGACACATGGCCCTATAGTCATAAAATGGTGCTGCTTTGTTTTTTCAAAGTATCTCTCCCACGGCAAGTGGCAGACAGTCTAATAAACATGGTTAGCTTCTCAAACAGAGGTGCTGTGTAGGATCCTTTATAAAATCTTAAAAATTGGGAAGAAACTACCGTGCAAAAATAAAAATGCATGAATTTTTTATCTGAAAATTTTCTCCAATGAAAATTACCTGATATATGATAAGTGTTCCTTTCTAAACAATGCACCACCTGAGGCCTTAGTTAGGGTGAGTACACTATGCCCTTATAGTCTGTCTCACTCTTACTTTGTGTATTTCTTTTTCAATTTCTTTTTTTTCCTTTTCTCTCTGCCTATCCTCAGCCTCTTTCAAATGATCTATTCAAATATCAACAATCAAATGATGACAAACATTATCAATAAACCTTTAATATCAATCATAATCTTCTCAATGTGTTCTCTTTCAGTAATTAGTTCCATATTCATTAATGTTATTCTTTCTTGTAATTTCTCTATTATTCTTTTATTATCTACTAATGGCAGATAGTCTGGTTTTGCCATTGCTTCAAGATGAAATTTGCAGTCATCAATTTCAAAAGCCATTCCTCTTCTCACTTTACTAGCAGCTTTAATTAATTATTATAATTATTAGTCTAATTAATAAAACTACTCTAACCTGAATCAGTTTTACTAGTAAGTGATCTCAAATAATCAACCTTCATTTTTGATAATTTGTCTGATAATTCCTTGTTTTCTTTTTGTACCTCATTAAACTGAGACCTCAATACAGTCAACTCTTCATCAAGTTGTTCTTCCTATTAATAATATAGAATAGTGAGATACCGGTACATGTATGTATGTCTATACCTCAACTTTTTTGATTGATTCAGTATCACTTTGAACAGACAAAAAATTTTCCTAGTAATAATACATTGTTATTTGATACATTACATCAACCATTGGATATTATCAATTAAGAGCGAGTCAAGTATCATGCAAAGAAATTTGAAGAATAAACTTCTAACCTTAGGTACTTGAGTCATTGATATTTCTTGTTTCAATTCAATTGTTTCCTATACATACAAGATTGCATTACACAGTTTGGTAGTATGACATACCTTCTTTTTACTATTGATAGCATCTCTTAGTTTATATCCAGCTTCTTCAAGTATAATATAAGAAATAACCTGTACATATAATTAACACATAACAATTAACAGAACACATTAGTACAATGTACAGGTACTATAATGTGGCTAATAAAGGAATGATTATATTAACTGACATCAGTATGTTGTAGTAAGTCTTGATCCTTGTGTTCCTATACAAAACAATACTTATAAAACAATATTAAAACTATGTACCTTTAGTCTAACACTTTGTCTCCTCCATAATATTAAGTTACCAATAGTCAGTTTCTTTAATCCTTGTCCCATTAGTATATGAATATTCTCTATCATCTTCAATACAGTAAACTCAACATCAGAGAAAGGAAAGGAGCAAGTGATAGATATTGAAGTGGAGGAGCCTATAAACTTAATGATCAGTAGTTTACCGGACACTTTAGATAAAATGCTCTTGATATCCTGCAGGACGTGCTCCTCAGGCTTCCAGTCAAAAATAAAAGTAACTGTTTCACATTTCAGATGAGAAACAGAGTCAAATCTTTTGTCTAGACAAAGACTAACTGAGATTGATTTGTAGAATTCTTTTAACTCAGCTCTATATGTCTCAATGTGTTCCCTTGCTTCAGTTATCTCCATTTCTTCTACTATGCTATGAAGTAGTTCAATGTTAGTCAGTGAGCATTCATCTTTAATATGACGAAGGATGCTAGATAAATCTGAACACTGCTCTACTTTTTTACTAAGGGAAGTGCTATAGCAAGACAGGAATTCTTTGATGTCATCCAAGTCCAATTTTCTCTTTAAAAACTTGCAAACATTATACAACATCCTTGTGTAAGAAGCTCTTATTGAGCTATACTCCACAAATAAATGTTGAGGAACAGGCACTTCAACTAAAAATAGTTTCATTATTAATATTGTATTAAATAAAATCAATACTACCTTGAGGTAGTACAGGTTGTGAAAATGAACTACATGTAGAATTATTAGCTCCAGTATCAGTACTATCTACAACAGAGAAGGTCAATAAATGTAAAACTGGCATAATGATACAATACATATTGGATTGTGTACAATTTGGTAGCTAATTAGTTTCATCAATACCTAGATAATTAATGAATGTATTGTCATTTTATATACGCGTTATACCTTGTGGAACTACGTGTATATCATGATCTTTAATAGTCTCATTAGGAACAACACACACCTCAGGAGTAGAAAAATACTTATCTAAAGATATAAGAACAAAAAGTTGCCATTATTATAGGATATATATACTGAACAGCATCAGTAAAAGTTATTTGAAGATTTTCCTATAAAAGTAGAAGTGGCTGTGTGTGCACATGTATTACAGAGCATGCATATTAATGATTTTTGATGTTGATTTTCTATTCACTAAAATATAACCCTACTAAATTGAAGTGCTATATATTTTGTACTGTATAATGAGAAATTTTTACGGCCCAAAAATTCACTAATTCATCTAAAAATCTATTCCATGGTTTTAATTTTTACAATTTTCTGCCTTCTGGCCATCTTGAACCATATTAAATCAATTTTTACGGATTTTATTTCTATAAACTTTGAATAAGTTGCGAAATTCACAAAATTTTGGGTCACAAAAGATTCTAACTATACAGTATAATAGGACACTAACCCGCCCACAGAAACTATGAAAATAATTAGAGTGCCAGTGATTAAGTACATGTACTCACTAATATCATCCAGTATAGCTTGTCCTAAATGTACATTAGTACTTATTGTACACAATAGATTAGCAAATGTATGTAAACTGTTAGGATCAGTTTGAACAGCTTCTTTGACAGCAGTTAATAGAGCCTCACGTTGATTAGGAATAGAGGGACTAGCTGACACCACTCTACTAACTGCTTCTTGTGTTAACATACGTTCAGCATAAAGTAACCAAGCAATACTAACAGAATCACAAAGAGACTGAGACAGGACAGTACGACGATTATTAAAAATATTAATAAGAACATGATGTTCTACATGTATAACAGAAAATACAATGATCATAGATTCATAGTTCATACACAGTTATGGTTGACTCACTTAACTTCTCAGCTACAGCAATTTCATTCATAGATCTTAGAGCATCTGAAAGTGAGTCCAATTTGGCTCCTCCTTTACTATCAACATTATCAGCTCTACTTAACCATTGGGAGATACTCTCTGTCATACAACGAGATACATCATGAGGATGATTCTTTTCTATAGCATCCAGTGTATTCTTTCTTAGCCCTAGTATCAGTCCAAGCTTATACCATTTTGTTTCCGGAAAGCCAAATTTTCCCATTAAACTAAGAACACGATCCAAATCACCAATATCTAGATTTGCTTCGATCAAGACTGTGGACTTAATACTAGGCACCAACTCCATCATGGACTTGCAGCAAACGTAAAATGACCGCAAAAGGAGGAGCTAGCTAGGCTATGGTTTTAATAATTAATTTTTCTTAATTTTAAATTTTTTAATAAATCTGAGTTATCTGACAGACACAATGGAAGGAGAAGCTAGAGAAGAGAGTGAAGAAGGATCTGATTGTAGCCTATACAAGGAGACTGACCATAGCCAGAGATGCTTCAAAGAGATGGCACAGTTGTGGTACGAGAAGCAATATTGTGACGTCCATCTTATGATAGTGGACTCTTTCGACAGTCCGACTAGTGCCATATTGGCTCACCGTGTCGTATTGGCAGCAGTCATACCATACTTCAAGGCTATGTTTGAGAGTCATATGAGAGAGAAAGAGGAGAAGGAAATTACACTGCACAACCTGACACCGACAGCAGTTAAACTGATAGTTGAATATGCTTACACTGGACAGGTATGTAATGCCAATGTCTGTCTCTATGAAGTACTCGGTCCTTAGTAATATTGTATAGCGGTTTTTTCGAGGACTAATTAGTTTCATGAATGACTTGTATCCAAAGGTTCACGAAATATTTTCATGAATCGCTGTTCAGCCACCTTGATCTTGTACACCATATTAAATTGATTTTCAGGAATTTTATTAAAAAATCTGTGAAATTTTTTTGTTCTCAAAAAAAAAACTGCCATACGGTATATTAAATTGTTATAGTGTCACTGGACTCTAGTTATGTCATTGTACTCATAACCTATGGTTATATGAGTTCACTATGATACATATAAAGGTCAAATATTATTATTACTATTATTATTATTATTACCATAATTAATCATTCAGTATAATCCTTGTTTTTATTATTTTTAGGTCAGAGTAAGTCCTCACACAGCACAGGATCTTCTAGTAACTGCCGATAAGTTTGGACTCACTGAAATTGTCTCTTTCACTGCTCGTTATATCTCCAGACAACTCTGCTCATCAAACTGTCTTGGGATACGTGAGTTTGCACTACAACAGAGCCTCGTGGAACTACACAAAGATGCTGCTCAGTTTGTCATTCAGAACTTCACTGCTGTTTCAAAAGAAGACGAGTTCTTACAGCTCTCACTTGAAAAGATTGTAGAGCTGGTGAGGAGCGATGACATTCGTGTGGAGTCTGAAGAAGACGTTTACCATGCAGTGACCCTCTGGATTTATCATAACTCAGAAGAGAGAGGGGAACATGCCGACGTTCTTTATAATCATATTCGATTCCCTCTCACTCCCCAACGTTTTCTTGACAACGTAGCATCAAAGAACCCGTATCTACAATCAGCAAAAGGTCAAGTGTATTTGAAGGATGCATACGAGTATTATAAGAACCCTGGCGTCACGATATTCTCAAATCCAAAGAAAACCCAACCCAGACATTCTGTACAGGGCATTATATGTGTGGTGGGTGGAGTAGATGATGGAGGGAGCAGTCTAAGTGATGTAACACTTTACAATCCTCACAACAAGGAATGGACAGACGGGCCAAAAATGAGATTCAGACGCTCCAGACTAGCAGTAGCACTATTCCAAGGAGAGCTTTATGCTGTCGGAGGGCATGATTTAGGATATTCTCTCACGACTTGTGAGAAGTACTCACCGAGTGATAGGATGTGGAAACCAGTCTGTGACCTTGAAACTGCACGACGGAGTCTAGCCCTTGTACCAGTAGGCAACCGGTTGTTTGCAATGGGTGGGTACACTGGCTCTATCTACCTCAAGAGTGTTGAAGTGTATAATCCAACTGTAGACGAATGGAGCCCTGGTCCACCAATGTTAGAGGCTCGTAGTGAACTAGCAGCAGTTCTACTGGACAATAGGATATATGCTATTGGTGGCAGTAATTCCAGTGGAGACTTGAAATCAGTTGAAGTTTACGATTTACTCAATAAGAAGTGGGAGCTGATTGCCACAATGGAAATGCCTAGAACTGGTGGAGGTAAGAAGAATACTTTTAACATGAACATGCATAATCCTAAGATGATTATTATTATTAAGTTAAGCCTATTCCCAATTCCCATATTTGCACAAACTAGATTTATATATTATGTCTATGTTGTTGTATACAGCTGCCTGTCTTCTTGGCGAAGAGATATTCTTCAGTGGAGGAATGGGAGGGAAGGAGATATACAATGTAGCCAGTTCCTATGATCCTGAGACTGACATGTGGGAACAGATAGCTTGTAGAATGAACGACTGCAGAGTTGGACTAGGTAAAGTAAAAATGGGGAGAGGGAGATGAGAGAATTAAGGGGGAAGATGAAAGAGAATGTAATGTGAATGGTAATCTTTGTATTTGCCTTGTTTGTATAAGTTTTATTTTATCTATAATAAATCAACTAGAGCATACACCAACTGTTTACATACCGACTTTGCATTGCTATAACATAAGAGTTTGTGTACAATACTATTCATAAAATTGCATTCCTTCCTTTCCTTTCCTCATAGCTGCAGTATCATTGGGTAACATTGTGTATGTATTGGGTGGATCTAATGGCTCACGCTATCTAGAGACAGTTGAGTATTATGATCCTAGTCGATTGACATGGCTACAAGGGACTAGCCTTCCCTTCCCTCGTTTTGCTGCTGCAGCTGTCACACTCTCAAGGAATGAGCTAATGGATAGTTGAGTGAGGAAGGAATTTGAAATTAATTTGTCTTTTTCAATATTTTTAGTAGTTTATTTTTTAACAAATTATTTTTAAATTGTTGTCATTTTTAGTTATCATAATCATTATAATGTAACAATAGTGTCTATTTTATTATAATCATCTGTGCCAATTTTATTGCTAAATTTTGAACTGCACATGATTCAGAAGATTAATGCTACTGATGGACATACTTGTGCCAAAATTTGTAAAGTGTGGCTGTATAGGCTATACAGTATGCACAGCTACCTCTTCAGTCTTTCCTCTTAGGTCACACTTAGGCAGGTTACCTTGACATTTTACTTTCCTTTTCATCAACAACAGCCATTTTAACAATAATCGTAATTATTATTAGGAGAAAATGTTATACAAAAAATAAAGTTAGTTGACTTCCATGCCCTCTTCATCAGCTCTCCCTCCTCCTTTCTTCACATTAATTTTAATAGCATATTCCTGATCACATCCCATGTATGCATCACACATGAAGTAAAGGGTATAATTGTAGGACCCAGTGGCCAGGGGGGCAGTAAATTCTAACTTGACACGAGCTTTTGTTTGGAGCGTTAGACGTTTGATGGAAATTAAACTAAAAAAATAATGTTAAAAAGTGTCTTCTCAATCTCTTTCTCTCCTTACCTGTTGGTCTTAGGATCACCAATAACAATCCACCATCCTTCTTCTCGACGCTATAAATAATACATGTATAATCAAGTCTCATGTGACGTAAAACCTTATTAGCCTACCTGAGGAAAGAAAGGAGCAATCACAAAAGGTGAGACTTCTTCCTCATCTTCTCTTTCAAGTTTCACATCGACCACAACAGAGTGACCACTAAAAAATAGAAAATGATATTTAAAGAGAAATAAAGCCTAAATATTTATCATCTATCTAATCACAAAATACCGCTGATTGGGAATTTTTTTTCTTTCCTAAATCAAAATTTTGCCTTTACCGCATAAACTTACTGCACAACAGGAAATTTTTGAGGGACTAAATTTTGGTGATTGGTGTTTTAACTTGGCCAATTCTGGCCATGTGCCATTGAGCATTTGCATAATGGCTCAAAATGGTAGATTTTCATTTTGGTGAATGGCTATTTATCTAATTTTTGAGCAAGTCTAAAAGTTCGCAAAAAAATTTTGATCAGAATGAGCTAAAATTTCTACACAGCATAAGAACATGCATGCACGTGGATCAGAAAATGTAATAAACATTGGAATTCTTTTAAAGTCATTTTTGATGAAATTTTGCTGATGAGATGACCCTGTACTTATATAGGGTTATAGTACTGTTTTTTTGGCCAGATTTTTGAGCAAATTCAAAAATCTGTAAAAAATCTACTTTCGATCAGAACAAGCTCAAAATATTTACACAACATAAGAGCATGTACATGTACATGTATATACATGATACAATGCTAAATTCAGCTACCCAAATATTTCATGCTGTACAGTATATCAATATGGAACAATCTGAAGTCAAGTTTACAATCAATAACACACTCCACATAGCTCTATCATAACAGCAATCAATACTACAACTACAATACAGGTAAACGTATCCTGTGTATTCCTTTGAGGTGGTTAGGTACTATCAAAACAGAGTACGACCCACAAGTGCTTCACCAAATTTTTTGCTTTAAAAAAACAGCCAGTACAAAGACACAGCATGACCTTTTATATGCTGCCATATGTAAACTAAAATTTTTGAATGGACCCATTGGTCCTGTACAATACTTACAATAATCATACAGGTATATAGTACATGTATAAAGCTACAGGCTAGAGTATTATCTTACCCGATTATATTGTCTTCATCCATTAAAGTATAGTTCAGTTCAATATTTGGGTAACGGTTACAGAAACGTGCCACATCTCCCATTTGTGCATCAGAAAATGATAACAAAGTGTTTCTGTCATCATCCTCCATATCCATTACATCAAAAACTGATTCCACTCCCTATCAAATGAAAAAGTAATATTTCATTATTAAATTAATTTCTAATTTGAGCTTTAATTTGTTAGAAAATTATTAAAGCAATTATTGAAGCAGCTTTAAAATCATAAAAATCCGATTCAATGACAATCAGCTGAGAACATGTATAATAATTATGATAAAATTGAGATTGAGCAATTTTTCATAACATAACGCCCACCATGTCTGCCCCTCATTAATCAATTCATCACATAACTGCACCAGACAGTGCCGTTACCTTATCAGTGCATCTCTTAATGACATTAGAGCTGAAATGAGGTAACTGTTTCAAGTAAGAGTCTTTACTCCACATTGCTTGAGTCACCTAATGTAAACATCATAATTGTGTCATTACCATAAAACGCATGCACATATACTTACCATTTGTGCTAGTTCCATGGCAGTCAGTGCTGGAGACAGCCAGCCATTACTACTCAATACATCAACACAAGCTTGAATCAGACGAACAGACTAACAAGAGAATAAAGAGAGATTTATGTTGCAGAATTCATTTTTGCAATTATTTCTAACCTTTTTCAGTATCTCTTCAGTATCATTCTGTAGTTCAGCTGATACTTGTAGCCTTGACAGATGAGCTTGAAAGAGTAAATTAGCTTTCACATGTGGATCATTGTACCTAAATACAATCAACAATACTTAAATACATCATTAATACACAGTTCAATTCAGTGTATGAACATTTTCAGTGCAATACTGTACATTATAAATAAATGTAGCAAGTAACTAACTTGATGTTTGTAAGTTTGAGTGGTACTTTAGTTAGCAACTGTTTCATGAGTGAATCCTCTTTGTGTCTTATTGGCAGATCTTCATACTCTGAGGCTGAACACAATATCTCTATCAGTCCTCTTAACTTTGTCTTCTCATTTAATGACATACTAAACAGCTCTGACGGGAGAAAGAGAGAGAGAGATACAATTGTATATTACTATTAAATAATTTACAATTACCTATTGTAGTATAATTAATGTAATAATAGGAAGCAATCATTCCTAAATTGAGTGGAGACAAGTCCATATCATCATCAATAGCTATACACTAATAAATGGAGAGGAGAGAGAATGGGCAACAGAAAAATTTAGAGATTCATAAACCAATACACTAACCTTGGACTGCTCAAGATCAGAGAGTGTACTCTCAACCAGTTCAGACAAATGATCTGACAAATGACGATGAGTCACACCTAAAATGGAAAATAATACAAAACATGACATAAAAATTAATAAACATGTACATGTACATGTTGCAAAAACAGTTTTGACATAAAGGCATTTGTACATCATTCTCTTCTTCCCTCCATCCCTTCTCTTATATACCTTGTAGGTTGTAATAGTTAGGATTTTGTATCATTCTCCTGTAAAGGAAGGTCCAGGTCAAATAATCCACAGCATCTTGTTTGTTCTCCATTGTCTTAGTGACAATCTCAGCATTAAAATGATCGTGAAGGAAGTGATCCAAATGAGACTGTCAATAAGACATTAAGATAATATTAGTAATAATAATTATACAATACAACACTCACTTCAATTGGTAGTGGCTCATAAAGAAACTTCTTGTAAAATTCTTTTTTAGAAGTTTGGCACAAAAGAACAGCAACACCTGAGGAGAACAAAGTAAATTAGATTTAAGCTGGGTTCAGAATATTTGGATTGCGACCGGAAGTGCCATATAACGCAATGGTAAACGCAAAAATAGAGCTGAGTTCTATTCTTGCATTTACCCATTGCGTTATACAGCACTTCCAGTCGCAACGCAAATATTCTGAACCAAGCTTTACAGTACATGCCACAATAATTAACACACCATATAAAGTATAATTAATTATAAACATAAAAAGCACAACAATAGCAAGGAAGCCAGCAAAAAAATTTAAATAGATGCATAAGATATTTGTTTTATTGGGGGCAAGCCCCACTCAGGCAAAGTCTCCCTCCCTCCCTCTGTATGTATGTATGTACGTACGTCTCCAGTCACGCCTATTCTGGTCACACTCTATGTGTACACTACTCTCTATTTAAAATCAATGATCTAATGCGGTAGCATTCTAATGAAATATTTTCATTGGTGTGGGTGTGGTTGCAATGAAACAAAATGGTGACTTTCAAGAAACCAGCTCGAGCAAATCTTACTGAAGCTTACTTGCAGCAAATAAGACTGATCTGTTGTCCAGGCACTTCTCCAGCAAAAAGAAGTTAAGAAAGCAGATATAAATCTATAGCAGTACTGTGCTTAGCTATACAGTTAAATTATGTTTAAATTGCAGCTGAGATTCTTTGCTAATAATAAAGGTAGGAAGCTATAAAATTGTCTTCCAATGGGCCATGCATGCAAGTCAATGTATGCTCGTGCTCGCCCCTTCAATGTTTTACATTCGTCTAGTATAAAAGAGTAGTACATACATGTACGTGTACTTCACTTTAGTGAATGTCTACATGTACATGTCGTGTATGTTATTGTGATACTTACACTCATCATCAATTAAAGGTCTATTAGCCAATCCAATCATTTGTAATATATCAGCTATAGGATAATCAACATACCTGTAAAAATAAGTGTAAGAGAAAGGTAGGGGCAAGGATCAAAGATTGAATAAATATTTCACAAAATTAACAGCACAAAGTACAACGGAATAGAAATTACCTGTGACCACGTCCATCATAATACTGTGTGTCCATGACAACCACCAAGTGACTGGACAATCCCATTCCCCAACACAAGTTCCTTGAAGCAACCAGAACCTGAATAGCACCAGAGGAGAAGAGCTGCTGCACTATCCTCCTCTCAATGTTAGTGAGTCCTTCGTGAAGATATGCTATACCATTACTTATGGTCTCAACAAGAGTCTAAGAAAAATATACACTAATAAGAGAAACATGTACAATCATTAATCTAAAATAAATTAAAATATGTAGACTGTGATTAGTTATAATACATGTCATTAATAACAAATGATGCACATAAACTCATTATAAGGTACATTAACTAGATGTACATGTATGTACAACATAAGCTATGGGTAATTACTTGATCTTTTAAATGCTTAAGGTGTGGTAATAGATCATCTACTGATCTGTGAAGGAATCTCTTGGGCTGATAGTCTGCAGCACAGAACGTCAATAAATCAACAGCAGTGAGGCGTGTCTGTTTACGAGACGGTACAAATACAATTACTGGCTTCTTAGGAGAGTGGGCAGAGATGGCATTATAAACTGGCTTAATCATAGCAGAGAGACGAGATGGAGTATGATTAAAATTAAAACCCTATAATGAGAGGGAGGGAGAACATAAATAAGAACAGTTAACATAAAATATTAATACTAACTTGTATGTGTAGCTCCAGTGGAACGGGTCTTGTGTTGGGATGAAAGTTAAAAAGTGAATGAGTCCCAGCACCAAGCCACTGACCAAGATCCTACACAATTAGTAAAACTCAGTAAAACACAGTAAAACAGAGTGTACCTTAGCATTTGCCACAGAGGAGCTGAGTCCAACTATTCTTATCTTCTTTTCTGTCTGTGATGAAATGTAGCGCATTCTTGAACAAACAGTCTCTAAAATGGTCTATAAACATGAAGCATAATAAATACTAATAATTAAGCCACACCAACTAACCCCTCCCTCTCCTCCTAGAAGATGAAGCTCATCGGCTACAAACAGAGACACATTTTGAACATTCTTCCTCTGCTTCCAACGTCTACTGAGCACGTCCCAGTGAGATGGTATACTGATTATAACATGACCCTATAATAACACAGTAATACTACAATTAAAACAGGCACTCTAATTAATGCACATATATTCTAACAAATGCACAATATACTAATTATTCTAATTAGTGAATTGTGTGCTTACCTCTTTCAATAGACGTAGGTCAGACGTGGTCTCACCAGTTAATAGAGTGACCCTCTTACTAATCAAACTGAACTTCTGCTTCCATTCAGCATATAACTAACAAGAGGAAAGGGTTAAGATTAGAATAAATTACACATTATTTACTAGTTCAGCAAGGGATTGTTTAGGTGTTACAAACACACAGCGAGAGTCTGGAGAATTGGAGAAAGCCTTCAAGATTGCAAACTCGGCACAAATGGTTTTTCCACTTCCAGTGGGAGCACCAATAAAGACATCATCTTCAGTATTGTACAATGAATTAAACACTATAAAATTGATAAATAATAATAATAATGATATTATATGAACAGAGTTGTCCACAAAATGCTATGTGAGCAAAACAGAATGCTTCATACAAAATTACAAATGTAAGTTAAAAAGTACTACAATACAGTGACATGGCATTTTTTAAAATTAAAGAATCAGCTCAAAAACATAAGGAGATGTATGTGTATCAAACAATTACAAAAATGAAAAATGCTATCTCAGCCAGTTTGGATGAATTTGGGCCTAAAACAAAAGGCCATAACCTTTGGTAATTGGCCCTATTCTTGAGTAACTTTAAAAATTCATTAAAAAAACTAATTTTGATCGGAATCAGCTAAAAGTTGAAACATAACATAAGGACATGTATATGTATCAGTAAAAATTATAAAAAGGAGAATTCTCTTTTATGATTTTTGTAAAAATACGCTGTATATATAAGGTCCAAATTTCACCCAACTTTTGAGCAATTTGACAATCAGTGTCACTGACAAGAAGTTGCATGAGCACTATGCTAAAATCTTATAGGAAACCCTACATATGAATAGAGTTAGAGTTACCTTGAGTCTGTATGGGGTTAAAATAAGGGAACCTGTCACTGTACAACTCCTCAAAGGCTTGATTACGAAGGGCGGAGACCGGGAGAGGCTGCAAATCAAGGAGTTCAGTGGGAGGAGGAAACTTCTCGGGTAAAATGAGATGACGGAAAGAAATTGGCAATAGTGTCTCAGATGCAATCCAGTTATCAGATACAACACGAATAAAGTATTGAGGAGGGAGTGGCTCAAATATCGGAACAAAAAAGTTTACAATGTGCTCATCCTCAGCATACTTGCTCTTTAATAAGAAATACTCGTGATGCAATATGACCTCACCATCAACATCCTCAACAAATACCCAAAATGCCTAATAAAGAAATAAGCCGACTTAATAATACAATATTGCATAAATAACACATGTATTAATTAATAAATGACTATTTATTTTTATCTCTTATTATGTTTCTTACTTCACTCATTCCATGTGTCTTCTCGTCCCATTGGAAATCAGGAGTAATAGTCAACTCAACCTGCAATGTAGACCTATAGAGTAAAGGAAAGAGTCAATTATACTGTAAATTTATTTATAAGTACATCCTCATAACACTTATCACCTACCTAGTAACAGGGTGTATGTGAACAGACAGTTCAAGTTTTGGGAGTTGATGAATGTAACGATGAATAGTCTTTCCCATTTTAGGCATACGAACCAGCTCTCCAATCTCATTGTGACCAAAATCATAATATCTTTCCCATGGAAAATCCTTTTTCTCTATTCTCTTTAAAACATCTTCTGGAAGCTTCTTGAACTGGCGCAGTGGAGTCATAGAGAGCCACCTAAAGAGAAAAGGATTAAGGAAAGTTGAGTTCTAGCGTGAAACCACCAGAAAATTATTATAATAAAATTGAACTTTTTTCAGACACACATTTTGAGAAATCCAGAACTTTGCAGAAATTTAAAATAATTAAACACAATTGGCTTTTTGGAATTAGCTCAAAGTTATATACAGAGTGTTTCAAAACTCACATCCTCTTGTCTATCATTTTGCAAAGTGAGAGGGTCCTGTCTGTTAACTGTGCCCAACCTCTGTGAAGACATATCTCAAATATAGCACGCAAGAGTCTCCCAGCACTCTAAAAATGTAATAATAGAGACAGGAGAAAAATGTTAAATATTGACAACAAAAACATGATGTACATAAAGCCTCAATAGAGAGAACTGACCTGACTGATATATACCATATCACTCATTAGTGCAAACCCATCTAACTTCAATTGAGATATGTAGGTCTGCAAGAGGACATTAACCTAGTGTTGAGCAGCAAAAAATTATCAATGAATATTAAGTAAATCAGCATGTGCTATTTGAAATTAATTATTAAAGCTATAATACCTTGGCACTGGCTTCTTCAATACTCTCTTTGATTGGAATTGGAACAGTATCTATCAGTTTGGCCATCTCAAGTTTCTCTTCCTATACAAAATTCAAATTGTGATGAGACCATACCCAAACTTACCTCTCTGACAGTGATGTATTTAAACTCTGATGAGAGAGAAAAAACACGAAATAATTCGATTTGAGAGAGAGTTGGTTTTAGGAGCTGATTATAAGTAGCCATTGATTCACTGGTAATGTAATAATGACTTGCAATACGACCAATATCAGTGACCTAAAGATAAGGAAAGTAATATGATGATGATAAAATACATGTAGTAATTATAAATACATGTAAAAACCTAGACAAATTCATGCTTTTAAGTAGAGTATGAGTAAACTCCAATGGTACTCTTGGCTATAAACATCACTTGCATTTGACGTGACTTTATGTTGTTCATAGCTTGGCTTTAAAGTAGGTTAATCAGCAGGGCCATCTTCGCTGAGTCTGTAAGTGCCTACTAAGCGGGCAGCTTGTAGGGTGATATGAGTAGATAGCTGGATTCAAAAGGTGGATACGGAATCTACAAGCTATAAAAATTCCTGGAAGTTGGTAACATTCCTGTAGTAATCTTAGAGAAGACAAAGAATGCTATAAAGGAAGGTATGAATTGTATTCAAGAAAGGCAAAAGTTGATCAGGATTGCTGACCGTTCCAATTTTGGATGGGATGTAGTCAATGAGTATCAGGCGGACAAATTAGCCGCTAGCAGTGACAATGAGAAGAAGCTGATCAAAGCAAAAAAGCAGTGGAGCAGAATGTCAAAAAAGAAAAAAATCTTGGCTAGTACAAAGAGGATTGGTTCTACAATATCTCAAGCCCAAAAGCCAGAAAGATGGAGATCAAGAGGAGGTCTACGTGCACAAATGAGCTTATATCCTCAGTCTTCATCAAGTGAACCATGGCAGTATTAAAAGACCTTTTGTTACTTGCAGTCCTTGGTCTAAGCCACCACAAGTTCCAGGACCATGTTTCTCATGCATTCTCTAGTGTGACGGTCTGTTACTGCTCGATAAGGAGATTTATCATCCATTTATTGATGTATTCCAGATTGAAGAACATGATTATGAAGAATCCAATGCAGTGTATGTGTATGAACAGTGCGCTTTCTCAAGGTGGTACAGCCTTTCATGCAGTTCCAACTGCTAATTTCCCAGGTCACCTATTGGCACCATGACAACCCTGTAGTGCCAAGAGTATAAGGAGGGTGGAGGGAAGGCTAGATGTGCCAATTTTCTAGGTCACTTATTGGCTCTGCGACAGAGTGTTTCTTTTTGCAATGGAGGAGGATCATGTTTAATGTATGAATCCCAAGAAAGGCCCTCACTTAAGACATACTATCCTACAGAGTCAGCAAGTGACAGAGGATGGCCTCAAATGAAAAATGGAGGATAGATTTGGCTTCCTCCAGTTTGAAGGAGCAGAGAGCTACTGGCATCAGGCAACTCCAAGCTTTGAACAAAGAAATAGTGAGATACATTTTAACTTAATATCTTATCTTTTCTGTGATAAAACATTGTGCTTTACTAATTTACAATATTATATCGATCTCTCTCTAAGTTAAAAAAGAGTGTTGGCAAGGACAAAAATTCCTGCACAAACTAATCTCTCTTGGTACTTATGTAGAAATTTTATTGGTCAATCAGAGTTTGAGATTCATTGGTTTTAACAACATATTCACTTGTTGGTTAATATTTAGTTACGAAAAAAAGAGGACAAAAGATTTCACACAGCATATAACCTAGTTGGGCAATATTTAGTAATGGATAAAGATGACGAAAGATTTTAAGTAAGTTATAATTACGTACTATTGTCTTGAAATTGGCAAAGGCCTGATGCAAAGACTGTCTATTGACTAGCTCACTGTACTGCTTTAAAATGGAAATATAGTAGGTCACTTAGCCTCAGCAGTTCCTGCTCTATGGTTAAAAGACATTTTTGCAAATTTGTAGGCTCATTCCACTTACCAGGCCATCATTAGATAATAGCAACCACCACTACACTGCATACTGACAGCATACCCTGTACTATTAATCTGGCAAACCTCAAAAATTGTCAGACAGCTCACCCAAATTAAACACTCAAGGACCAACTGAGCCATTAAAGAAGTGAAGTGATCTTGCTTTTTTAATTGGAAAATAGTCAAGTTAATAAAATTGGGTGGCATCTTTTTAATTAAAACATCATGACTACTGACAATGACACTAAGCTTAACACACAGCAAGTGAGTAGGGGACAGGAGCCTGAGCCACCACACACTCTATACAGCTAGAGTTTATACAAGAGAGTGCCAAAGTGGGAGAAGCAGAGTCTGCTCTTTCAATAGAAAATACTGACCAACAATCCTGCTGCTGTTGATAGTAATTTTCAAACACTGTTTCATTGTTTAGCAAGGTTGGATGTCAGGTTTTTTTACTAGGAATTACACTAGGAAATTTAAAATTGATAATTTAGTAACATATGATCCTTAAAATGCTGACTTTACAAACACATCTTATGAAAATGCTGATGTTTCTATTGTTAACAAAAAAGGCAATACAGCAGCTTGTTCCATGAATTGCCCTTACTACTTTTCAAGTACTGAATGCTTTTATTTCAATTGCAGTTAAGTATGCATATGCGTCCTTCACACTCTAGCTGCAGGTTATTCACTAACACTACCATCTGCAGTGCAGTCATGGCACTAAGGACTCCAGAATATGCACAACTACAGTACATACACTTATACAGGCCTCTTGCAAAGAAGGTGGATACTGGCATTTGGCAGCAAAGTTCTTCTAAGCATCTTACCAAAGGGCTTTGCTTAACCACTATGATAATAATCTAAAGTATTCTGATGATTGTTACTATTGCAAGAACTGTAAATAACATTGTATGACTAAACAACATATAACTTGTTAATTATCTTATTTTTATCATAAAAAGGTCGTTGGATATACACAATGTGAAAACGCAAAAAATTAAAATGGGAATGGAAAATTAAAAGAGGTGTGGTTATGGATGGAGTATCAATAGTCAGAAAAAAACAGAGCTAACTATGACTACCTATGTGGTACTTAGTATTTTTATTGCAATTTTAGGCAATGACAACATAAAATAAGCAATCATGAATAAGAAACAATCTGAAATAAAGTGTAGAAATATGCAATTTTTGTGCGTGAGCTATTATCCAATAAACTGGTAACCATCATAGGCAGTATTGGTAAAGTGACTGGACAGGGCCTGGAGTCCCTAGGCTACGACCAAAGCCCTATTTGTGTTAGGGAGGCATTCATTTGTAGGTGTGTAGATGCATTGCTTAGAGCTGGCTCAAGCAGGAAAGTGCTCCTCGTTTGCGAATAAAGTTGTCTGGTTTCATTGAAGCCTCGCGGCAACAATTAATGGCTGCAATACATCGATGTTACAGTGACTATTGTGTGATGCTGTTAGGTTCAAGTTGAAGTATTTAGATACTGTTGAAGGCTGGTGCCACTTACATACATGTACATGAATTTGAATTTAGTAACCAGTATCATTTAATGAACAATTGTTGTTATTGTCATTGTTATTGTTATTATTATTGGTATAAATTTATTATAATTACATTTGAATTAATTCTTTAAAAATGATTCTTATTAAAGGGTAACTATCATGAAAGTATGCAATATTTGTTTTACTTTGAAATGATACCCAAAGGTGAGATAATGAACATCATGACAATATTAGCAAAATGCTTGAAGTATGCATGATATTTAGAGGTTAATTAAGTGCTTTGTTTTTTAAGTCCAAAGAAGATAACTGTTGTGGGAATTCTAATGCAAGCTTACAAGTAGCACCTATAACTTGAAAGAGATATTGAGGCCTTGCAACAAAGAAGGCAGTTGATAATACTTCATATCAAATTTCTGAGGCTTGAACTAGTGAGTTTTGAAATCCTTAGTATGATAATATTGACTAAGATATTGTTTGTTTATAGACTATATGAAAGACCTACTGAAGTGGAAAAGCAATATATACGTAAAGAAGAAGGAAACTTTGTCATCCATTTACTTCATACAGCATATCAATGATCTTGTTGCTCAATTGAAGATTCTATTTAAAGATGAAGATAACACGATTTTATGTAGTTGCTTTTATGTTTACGTAATAATTAATGCTTGTTAGGCATTTATTAAGTGATTTATTGGTTTGTGGGTGTGGTCGAGTGCCTCATAAAGCACGAGGCAAAGCCGAGTGCTTTATGAGGCACTCGACCACACCCACAAACCAATAAATCACTTAATAAATGCCTAACAAGCATTAATTATTACGTAAACATAAAAGCTACTACATAAAATCGTGTTATCTTCATCTTGAAATAGAATCTTCAGTTGAGCAACAAGATCATTGATATGCTGTATGAAGTAAAT